TGTAAAGGTGCTAGATGTGCAGACGCGCGATGGGACCCACCTCGGTTTGCCGCTACTTGAAGATTTTTGACCTTGGCTTACAACTCTTTATATATTAGATTAGATTAGAAAGATATAGATAAGTCTCTTCTTTCATCTTGAAAGTATATATATAAAGTAAATTACTCTAATGCACGCAGTAGCTTTTTTCGTCGACAAAATTATGATGGTGTGCTGCAGCCTTTACAACGGATTAGGCGTCTGCCCTCCTCATCGCTCGCACGCGTGGGACATTTGAATGTTTTCTATCAGTCGGTGTGCTTTGCGTTAGTTTTGTATTTTCGATGGTAAAATGCTTCAGATATGGAAGCTGGATCTTCCGAGGAGCCCGTGGTTGTCCATGAAGACAGCAACTTGTCTATGGAGTCAGTCGAGTCAATAGAGCAAGTGGCGCCATTAGTTCCTCCAGCACCTTTGCCAGAAGAATCGAACGTAACAGAAAATGCAGAAAGTTAGTAGACTAAAATGGTGAAATTGGACGTGTAATCGGTTCTGAAGTTGGGGTTGTGCTTGTTTAGACACTCAATCTTCAGCCATGGCAAGCGTGTTGTCCACACCAAGATCTTCAGTTAGAGTAATTACGGCCGATGTTACGCATAGACAGGTAAATAATATCTCTATAATTTCTCCAAATCTATTTTTACTGCAGTATTTATCAAGGTTGAAGTGAAAGATCTTATCGAGTACGAGTGGCCATTGAAGTCTGGAGACAAGTACTTTCTGCAGGTTCGAATGTTTCTGTCTTCTCATTTTGTGTACGCTCAGGCATAGTTTTTGGAGCAGTTTAATTCTATGTGAGCAAGCTTAGCATCTATGTTAAATAATGTGTCCGTAAATAATGTAAATAAATAATGTAAATAATGTCTATGTGCTATATTTCTTGAGCGCAGCGAAACTGAGTGGTGTTTAGAAAGTTTATGTGAACTGAACAGTACTCCTTCTTTTTACATGAAAAATGATTAATGAGCATGATTTGCTAGATTGGCTAATGAAATTTTGGTTGTTTTTGCTGCTCCTACAAATGCTGCAAGCAAATTTTTGTTCATTATCTTTATT